GAACGAACGAATTATTTCACCAAAAGATCACCATCAGTTCCTGCGTTGTTACAAGTTTCAACAAAATGAGCGATATGCTGCTTAGGATTACCCTTTCCATCAAACTGTTGTAACTTGGGAGGTTGGTATCCGACTGGTATTCTCATGTTGTCGATTCGCTTTGTGTAAGGTTTTGAATACATGAGAGAACTGTGAGTTGCCCCGCCATATTGTGACCTGATCGTGTTACTAATCATATCTTAGAGTTGTTGGACAGACAACGAAGCGATGGAGGGGGTGAAGTTGGTTTGGTTTGCCCCCTGTTCGGATGTGGTTACATGGTGAATCTTGTTCGCCATGGTTGCGTGTGGCGTGAAAGCAAGAGGGTGTGTGGGTCCTTGACTTGACTCGACGAGCTTTTGTACTTCAAGCTTATTCATTAATGAAGCAATCTGCAAGTCTTTGTCTTCCACAGTCTTGGTGAGTTTCTCAATAGCACGAGCCATAGTCACTAGTTGTTCTTCTATCGATGCTGTGTCGGCCATCATGACTTACATGTAAGTTGAATGTGAATGATTCAGAGAATCAGCATACCCTGGTGAAGTCGCACCTCTTGGAGATACCGGGGATGAGGCTGAGTGTGAGCCCGTGCTTGAACTGGAATTCAGAATGGATCGAGATAAATGCTGCGACATACTTCTCGGAGAGAAGCCTTCCATACCAATGATGTCTTCCTCAGGGCTCGCGGTGTTGATCTTCATGGCTCTCAATGATTCAAGGGTGATAAACGGTGGTTGGATTATATTTGAGTTCTTCAAAATTGAAGAAAACTCAAATGGATTTCTGAACAAGGGCCGGTGAGGCTTGATCTCGAATAGTGGATTTGAAAGTCTTCGAAAGAGAACAGCACTTATGTGCTTGTTGTTCTTCAAAATCTTTGAATGTTGAAAGGCTTTGATGAAAATAGCGTAGGTGTGGCACGCTTGTTCTTCTTCAAAAAAAAAACTTCACAATCTTTGTTGAGTCAGAGTGTAACAACCCACTCCACCACATGGTATGATATTGTCCGCTTTGGGCCTGAGCCCGCACGATTTTGCTCTTGGGCTTCACCCCAAAAGGCCTCATACCAATTGGAGATGATGCACTTACATATAAGCACTTCACCTTTCCTCTACCCAGGCGATGTGGGACTTGTGCACCGGTAGCTTGACAGTGTGGTAGCCTGACAGTGTCTCTTGCACCCGCCCACGGCACACCCGCCCACAAGGTTAACATAATCCACCCCCCTTGGAGGCCCGACGTCCCCGTCGGCACACTTCCGGCTGGGTCAGGCTACCACACTGGCGAGCTACGGGTGTACAAGTCCCACATCGCCTAGGTAGAGGAAAGGTGAAGTACTTATATGTAAGTGCAGCATCTCCAATTGGTATGAGGCCTTTTGGGGTGAAACCCAAAAGCAAAATCATGCGGGCTCAGGCCTAAAGCAGACAATATCATACCATGTGGTGGAGTGGGTTGTTACAAATGATATCAGAGCCTGACCCAGCCGGAAGTGTGCCGACGGGGACGTCGGGCCTCCAAGGGGGGTGGATTGTGATGACCTTGTGGGCGGGTGTGCCGTGGGCGGGTGCAAGAGACATTGTCAGGCTACCACACTGGCTAGCTACAGGTGCACAAGTCCCACATCGCCTGGGTAGAGGAAAGGTGAAGTGCTTATATGTAAATGCATCATCTCCAATTGGTATGAGGCCTTTTGGGGTGAAGCCCAAGAGCAAAATCGTGCGTGCTTAGGCCCAAAGCGGACAATATCATACCATGTGGTGGAGTGGGTTGTTACACAAAGTTTCGGCAGAGCTTCAATGTTCTGTTTGTCTCTTTCTCTATGTGTGTTCTGTGTCTCTATAGGTGTCCATTCTCTTGTAAGGTGGTCTTGTATTTATAGGCCAAAGGGTGGGTCGTTTAATTTAGAAACTCCCCAATATTGTGCGATTCTTCCATAAATAAGGGATTTGTTTCTTTTTAAATGGAAATCAATTCAAATTCAAATTTTTATTTGAATTTTACCGCACTTTTCTTTAAAGGTTTAAACCTTCAAGATTTTGACACGTGTCCATTGATGGGACCCATGTTTGTGGAATTTAATTAATTAAAGAATATTTGACTTCTTAACCAATCTGACGGTGATTAAACCCATCACAAATTTTAATTAAAGAATATTTAACTTCTTAACCAATCCAACGGTGATTAAACCATCACAAATTTTAAGCATCTACAAAGTTAACAATTATAATTTTTGTTGGTTAAAAAATTTAATGTATTAATGAAAAAATATTTCATAATAATCAAAGACCTCTTTTATATATGATTAAAATGATAAATGCTAAGAAATATGAAAAGTGGCTTACATTTTAGAAGTTTGGAATATTATGGATTAGGCTCTAGAATTTTTGGGGATTTTTTTTTAAAAAGTTGGGAAGCTAAAACTTTTTTAAAAAATGGCATTTTTTATTATTATTATTTTGTTTGGAATATTGTGGATTAGGTAATTTTTGGGAAGGTATGATTTAATGAGATGTTATGAGAATTTTTATTAATAAATAAATAAAGAATGTTAATGAGGTTTGAATCATAAGGTGATTTAATGAGATGTTAATGAACTTTTTTATGTGAAAAAAAAAAAAAATCAAAAATCAAAAATATTCTTTTGGTCTCCCTCAAATTTTTTTTCATAAAATATTAGGTCCTATATGATATACATTTATATATCATTACCTATACTATATATTAATGAAGTATGAATCAACTTTTGTATATGAAAAAAAAAAAAAAAAAAAAAAAAAAAAAAAAAAGAATAATCATACATACTTTAACTTTTTATACACAAATATATATATATATATATATATATATATATATGAATTTTTTTTTTTTTTTTTTTAAGTAGGTATTTCAAGAGATGTAACTCATGCAATTAAAAATCATACAAAATTTTAATATAACGTTTAATGAAAATGATTTTATTATATACAAAATACTTTTTTATTAATATAAAAATTGTTAAGAAATTACATATGAATTTTTTTTTTTTTTTTAAGTAGGTATTTCAATAAATGTAACTCATGCAATTAAAAACATAAAAATTAATTTTATAACATTTAAAGCAAATGTTTTTATTTGAGTATTAAACATAAAAATTTATCTAAAATGTAAAAAATAAAATATATGTATAATGTAGATATATATACAAATATATTATATATTATATATGTGAATTTTTTTATATATATTTTAAGTGAGTATTTCAATAAATGTAACTCATGCAATTAAAAACATAAAAATTATATACAGATATATTATATAGTATACATATGAATTTATTTATTTGTACCATGTAGATATATATACAAATATATTATATAGTATACATATGGTTTTTTTATATTTTATTTTTAAAGTATGAATGAATTTAAAGAGACATGCAATTAAAAACATATACATTTATATTTCCTTATCAATATTATTAATGAGGTATGAATTATTATGTTTTAATGAGTTTTTTTTTATGTAAAAAAAATAATGTTAAGAAATTCCTTACACTTTTAGAATAATATATATATAGATATAAATAGATAGATAGATATAGATATAAATATACATATTTTTCTACACCTCCTTTGGTCCAAACTCCAAAGGAAACCCGAAAAAAAAAAAAAAAAAAAAAAAAGGGATATACGTAGTAGTTCAAAACTTATGCGGGGAGAAATGAGAAAAAATTGGCGTCGACAGCAGGATTCGAACCTGCGCAGGCAAAGCCCAACAGATTTCAAGTCTGTCTCCTTAACCACTCGGACATATCGACGATTGACATAATCATTCGTAATAATTTTTCTTAACTAAATATTTGTTTAATGAATTTGGGCTAACAAGGTTTTATTAACTCAAGAAAAGGAATATCAACCAGATTGATACTTTTTTGATTCAAAAGAAACAATTTTTTTCAGAAAGTATGGTATAATTTGGCCAAATATCAAAATGTTAAATTTCACTCCATTCTATTTGGATTTAGATTCTGGAAAAATAAAAATAAAACATTTCGAATGCAAGTATCGTGTTGCCCGAGTTGTTAGATGGCTCCCCATATTTGAGAGTTACGTTCGAATCTTGCACACTCTCCCTCAAGCGCACATTTGGTGCAAAGTGACCTCACATTAAGAGCAAAGTGATCTCAATATAAAAAAAAGCATGTCAAATTTGTTTGTTTAGAGAGCAAAATGTTGGATGAATTATATAGTTTCTTTTACTTCTTGGTTAGTTGAGACTTGAGAGCCTATTTAGAATTTTTCAAGTGCAATTACTTTTAGTCCCTCCTTTTTCTCAATAACCAAACAAGACATTCAAAATCTCCCTTTAAACATTACTTGACTGTTTAATGTATTAGTTATTAGAAATTATTATATAGTTCTCTTAAGTTTCTTCAAGACACATCTTAAATTCATCAATAATTTTTTGGTATGTCGTTTTAAAATGCTAGAAATGGGTAGAGAATATTCTATATGCTGACCAGTTTAAAATTAATACATTTTCTTACTTATAGACACAAATGAATAAAATTTCCATTTTATTAAATCATTTTTTTTCTTTTATTTTTTATTTTTTTTGGTAACGAATAATCAACCCACCTGCTTATACACTTTGGACTCTCGAATGGTTTGTAAACTCCATTTACGAGCAATCACCCGCAAACCAAACATATTATTTAAGTCCGAGTGTTTTCGTGTGTTGTGAGAATCAAACGCAAGACATCCGAGTTTATGATTCACATACGGAGAACTTACTAGCGCAGGTTTCACTCCCTTGTGTCTGGATACCACTACTCAGTACTCATCCCCTTAGTGGTGGTTACCAAAATAAACAAAACATGTTTGTGAATTCAACCCCACTTATCCACCAAAATAAATCATCACATAATCGACAAGGAAACATATGCTGAGGACCATAGCAAAAGAATGTACTCAGAGCAGTGTGTTGAAAATTCCCCACATTTATACACAAGGAATATATGAAGTACAGAAAAGAAAAAGAAAATAAATAGTTGTAGTCATACATCTCTTAGAGCAACATAATGGTATTGCAATATCCCAATCATTCTAAAAAGTTGGATGCAAACTTTGCTTCTTTGCAGATAGCATCCAACACCAAAAGCTGGATAAGAAATTTCTAGCCTTGAAGAAAAAATAAACAAAATATCAAATGAAAAAGGACTAGAATGGAAAAGAAATATCACCATATACACCCACTACTAGAACAAGGAGGAAAAAACCATAATCAAGACATGTCACATTGGCACCCTAAGCCGGCATCTGAACTGAAGGTAAAAAAATTGGTAGCCAGATGACCGGTGATTGTCGACCAAACCTTCCTGCAATACATGGGAAAAAAGAAAATGAATAAACAGGTATATTATATAAAAACAATCTTGTAGCATAAAAATATATTTGAAGGTAAGGGACCGTTTAGATGCTACATAACAAGTAAACCTGTTTTGTTTGCCTGGCATTTAAAACAAAAATATTTTTGTTTTCAGTAGCAGTTAAATGAAGCACTCATGGCAATGGCCTTGTAAGTGAAGAGCCAATCTTTCAGCAACATTAATACACGAGACAAAGTCCTTAAGTTTTATAATATTTATTAAGCAGGCTACTGGTGGGCATATCTATACTAGAAACGCCAAAACTAGAGAGAGAGGCTTCTGTCTTTTAAGGCACTCATTTGAGGATTTTTCTGTTATTGTCATCATCATGGTGGTAACTATAATTACACCATCCGGATATACGACTGAGTTCAAATCTATTAACATTGAAACTGAACATTGTTTGATTTCTGTAGGCATCCACATAGCCATGTATGAAAATTCACAATCAGATGAAAATATTTCAGTACTTATGAGAGTGCAAGATGAAGAGATGTCAATTTATTCATTTACCTTCATCATTTCGAGATGGAATTCTTGATCACATCAAAATTTTTATGCAAGTTGAGTAATGACATCTAGATTATTCTTCATAAACCATTCCTGAGGGTAGGCATATGATATATCCCTATGAAGGTGCCAAACCATGATCCTTGAGCAGTTCTGCATTAAGCCTTCCATTTGGCTTTCATCCTCTACAATTTGTTCAATAAATGTGCTCGCCTGCATTAAAAATTAATAACGTTAATCACAAGATACAATTAGAAGTGGCATCTTCCAATCATATTTTTAGCGGAAGCTCATTTTTAGCTCCATTCACCGATAGTTATCTTATGAAGGATGCTACTGCATTTCAGCATAAGACAATTTTTTAATAAATTCCATTAACAAGCTATTTTGGTGAATGATGGCAGTGCCCATCCATACAATAATATGTTCTACTACCATCTACATCAAGTCAACTAGAGAGGAAAGGAGAACTAACTTTCCAGCCTTCTTTGACTGTGTCGAACTGCCGAATAGGTTCAAGAGTGGGTCTGCGCCAACTCTTTGGATCCCATAGTATGGTACTATTGAATGCGAACCCTGACATTTCGGCATGAAACCTCCGGAATCTTCTAGTCACTTCATTTGTGTGCCATCCAAGAACTTGAGTCCCATTACAGATTGGACCCTCCACGATGGTTTCACTTTTGTTCTCTAGTAGTTTGGCCACCATCCATGTCCCTAACCGTCTGCAGGTAAAAAATGTTGGCTATCAAGAAAATGTTCACATAGATGGAGATAATGGTAATAAAGCATATATGTTAATGGGTGAGACCATGAAGGGAATGATCTATAATATCATTGCTTTTAGACCTAACCAGTCAAGAAGGAAGTGACAAGATCATATACCAGACAAAGGAAAGCCATTTAAGGACCAATATGACTAACTGGAATTTCATAAAGAACTTTTTGGATTTCCATAGGAGGAACTTTAAAGTTGGGGAAAAATCATTATCGAAAAGAGTATAGTAATCTATGGGTTCCTAGAGTACAGGTGGCCTCTCATGGTGTCAACCATATATATACCATATTATGCATAAAAGTAAACTGAGCTCCTTTGTTTCCTGGTCCTCTAGATATGTTCAAGAATCAATAGAATGATGGAAGTGATGGTTAAGATCAACAATTGTGAAGACATTTTCAGGATACAAAACTAAACCAGCTCAAAATAGATCAGAAATCTTTCCTAAGCTCCGAGCAAATGAGTGCATCAAGTCAACAGCATAATAAGCTATAAAGCAGAGCCACAAGTCCATATGTTGTGTAGCTGAGTAAAATAGGAACAAAAGGTCCATATGATGGGTACAGATGATAACATGTAAATTTAGAGCAGGAAGTTTGACCTGAAAAAAGTTCAGCGGAAGTGATAAAGGAATACAATTTCAGACAACTGGAAACCTAACAGTAAAGCTAATGAGAAAGTGTGTTAGAATGGATAGGAAGATTGTGAAAATGGGTAAAGAACCTACTATGAATGAATTTTGCATTTGAGAAAAAACATTCAGAAACCAAATTTACTAAGAGTTTCAGGGAAATTTTCCAGCTGAAAGAACCGCAAGACTTACTTATAGTAGGAAACGTCTCTGAGGGACACCCAATCCCAACCAGATGATGTGTCTCCCACCCAAGACAATAAGCAATGAAATGTGCCATACAATTCCTAGCAAAGATTTGTCCAAGGATATAAAAACTACAAAATCAATATGGATTCATTGTAGTAATTAACTAACTAACCTGGAAATAGCTTATGTCTTTAATGAAATGTATTGCGTAAGCATAAAATAGATTATAAAGTTTCTAAGATGATCGGTAAGATAATATAATTAAATTTGGCAAAAAAAGAAGGCGAATTCGGCTTTCCCATAAAGAAAAATCAATCGAATTATGTTACAATGTGTATTATTTTTTCTCTTTCTCCCATTTATTATTTCATTTCTTTTCTTTTCTTTTTTCCTTTTTTTTCGAAAAATCCAAGCAATGATGTTTGACCTTAAGCCTTCTTAGGCCCTAAACTCATTCCAAAACCTTAACCCATTGGTAGTAAAACCCTAACCCTAATTGCCCCACGTCTACAAGTCCTTAAACCTGAATTTTACCTTGTCATCTGGAATTTCCAGCAAGCTTCCTTTTAATCTCAGTCACAAATTTGCCACAAACCTCAACCCAGATAACCCTTATTGAATTCTTAACCTTATTCTTGCCTTCTCAACCAAAGTTTAGTCAGTCCAGTCGGGGACCGGCAAAAGAACATGAACAAAGCTTTGTTTGGAATTTGATGCAAGGAGGAGGATCAAGGCCATCTACAATCAAATAATGGTTGGCTAGGGCTAGGCACATGGATCTTATAATTGGCCCACCACCAGGAACTTGATATCACATTGTCCACTAATCCACTACAGATGCTTGAACCCCTTCACAAACTAAACCATAGTAAATACTTTTTGCAATTTTTACGATGGATCTAATACAAAGAAAATTAGAAGATAGGTATCAAATGTGTAGGAAGCTAGAGGGGACACCTTTGATAACGCTGGTTCTACCATCTTTGATTCTTTACACATATAGAACCCTTTCCACTTCATTAGTATTTCTACAAACCAAGGCCTAAAGTCTTCAACATCCTCACCAGACACCGATTCACGTATTTCTAAATATCCTCAAGGCCATAAACCATTTCAAAACAATGAAGCAGAATTGAGTTTGTTGTGCACTCCATTAAAAGCATTAGTGCCATTTACAAACCAAGAGTTATAATTAGATCCCACTGAGTCTCCTGATCATCTTTCTATCTCATCCTCCTGTATGGAAAATGAAATCCGAAACCTTAAGAAATGCCTAAGGAAACAAAAACAGGAACAGAATCCAAGAGACACAAGCAGGCGCCAAATTTATCCAACCACAAAATCCCATTTTTTATGCCACATACCTAAGAAGCCCCAAGGATTATCATCAGAAGTATTCTCAATATCCAACTCATGAATGGTAGTAATGGATCCAATTCAACATTCAGAAAGCACTTCTGATCCCACATTTTACTACACAATCAAAAAATCATTTCCAATAGGCAGTACATCGTATTTTGCATACCCTCAGCAAAAGCATTTTAGTAAGGAGACATCACTTCACTAGCATCTGTCACAACTTTCAATCTTTGAGTAGCAAATTAGTCAAATCTTGTAATAATAAAGGTTAATAATTTTTACATCCCTTGTGTATGTTACCTCCACTTTTTTGCAATAGTCGTGCAGAAAATGCAACATTAAACTATGAAAACACCCAAAACATGATAGCACAGCCATTGCTTGGCTAGAAGCCTAGAATTATAGTTGCTAGGATTCATACAAAAGGTTATAATCAGTGTATTAGAAGTTAGTGAATTTCTAATAGAGAACTTGCATGGTTAGAGCTTTGTTTGAATGTGATGAACAATGATTCTGCACATTTAAACCAAACTAATGCATTAAGCCACAAAAGCAACCCATGCAACTAGGTATATCCCAAAATCCTTCTCTACATTTCCCGGCAATCCTAATCTGTATTTACAGGAAGCCCTAATAAACTTTTAAAAAGTGACTCCTAAGACTATCCTGTATTGTAATTCCTTCACAGCTTCCTCTTCCTCAAAATGCTTTTAAACCATTACTCAGAAAACAAATCCGCCATATGCTACCAATATGATTTCAAATTCATATTCTTGTTGGAAGTAGGTTTCTAGTCAGTTATTTTAAATTATTATAGTTCATACAAACATTGTCATTTTTCATTTCAAATTACAAGAATTGAATCATTGATAAATACCACACTTTCAAACACAAAATCCAGTCATGACATTGTGAGTTGGTGACCATGCTTGGAATTGGAATAATCGCTCTACCACTCAAATTTCAAAATCTTGTAGTTTCTAGTCCTCTGTCCTCCACAAGCAAGCATGACAAATACAATTTATGTCCCTGAAGTGAAAAACAAAAAAGATGCTCCATGCAACTATGAACAGGAAACCTATTACCCTGCCACTTTAAACAAGCATGCATGTGAAGAATGATTAAATAAATAAATAAAAAATTCCCGAGCAAAGAATGAAAATTCATTGTACTTCATGTTGTTTGGAAAACATAACAACAAACAATATAAAACTGCCTACGTGTTATGCCTTTTACTTCCTAGGAAACTATATAATGGAATTAATCATATTTTGGCAAGTTTTTGAGTTGTTTATGACACGAACATACATACTATGAATCTCAACAGAATACTAACAGGAAGAGTAATTCATCATGAGGGTGCTCTCATCATGAGTCTGTGCCCTCAGTCGTTTGATCAAGAGCATGACATCACATCGCTCTCCATCTAACAGCTATGTGCACAAGCCAAGTATGACATCACATCACATCATGAGTCTGTGCCCTCAGTCGTTTGATCAAGAGCATGACATCACATCGCTCTCGATCTAACAGCTATGTGCACAAGCCAAGCTAACGTTAGAAACCCTCACAACAGCTTTTCCTTCCGAGAAATGGAAGCTGTCTTCAATGTGCCTGATTGATAATCCACCTTGACAAGCTTAGAGCTCTCAAATGAACCACGCTCAAACTTTGCTGAAAAGCTCAAAAACAAAGGAAAAAAGGACCACTATGCTTGACTAAAACTAAAGCTCTCTTATCATGCATGTCATGCTATAATGTATCACATTGGATGAATTGAGATGTTAATTCAAGAATCAAAAGTAAAAAAGAGAGAAGAGAAAGTTTTGGGTAATAAAAGTAAATTGAGACCCTTAAAAATGCATTTAGGATGTAGAGCAACAACTTTACAAAGAAAAGTACCTGATCTGCCTCATCTGCTCAAAGAGATCAATGGAGTAGATGTTGTCATCATCTGCGAAGTAAACAATTCCATTTAGGCGGTGTGTTTCTATGTGGGACAGCGCCACATTTCTTTGGTGGACACCTCTATCTTGTGTGTCAGTTAAGTTCTTATTGCACACAAGATGCCTGAACATAACACCAGTTCTCCTCAATATGTCAGCTGTTTCTGAAGAGTCAGAGGCCATCTCCACCACGATCCATAACAACGGAGTTGGGACCAATTTTAATGTCTGTGCCAAACGATTCAGATAATAGGCTTGAAATGGTCGACCATGTGTTGGGGTCACAATGATCAAAAGCTTATGGAACACCATATCTGAATCTTGATTGCTTGACTGGTTAAAAGAGGTCTCACTACCATCAGGTATCCAACTTGGTTTTTCCCAATTCAGTGCATATGGCTCTGATGTAGCATTATAATTCATAGCCCAACTGTCTACTAGAGGTGTCACATTTCTTTGCATAACATGACTAACATTATACAATGGAATTTCCCCAGCAGAGGGAGACACCTCGAATGAGAAAGCCTGATGTTTGGACATAAGACTTGTGGATAAATTCATAGAAAGAAATGGAGTAAGTCCAGCAAAAACCCCAACCATGAAACATATGAGGAAATGGAAAAGAGCCCTTATCCAAACTAGTCCCTTCGGTTTTGACCTCTCTAGGGGGCGAGAAAATCTTTGTGAGAAAAGACCAAGTACAAAAGCTTGAATTCTGTAAAATGCATAATCCAAAAAACCAAAATGAGAATGTGTAATCCCACCTGATGTTGGGTGGTTCTGGGTACATGAAGAAGAAGACCTGGACAAGGGAGAAGCAACCGAACAGGCTTCCCCATTTAGTAAAGGTCCGGGGCGAGGCACTGGAGACAATGTTCTTCTTATAGAAGCCATGAAAACAAATCCAATGCAATCTGAACTTCTGTGGACTCAATTTTCTTACAGAGAGCATCCAATATCACATTTACTGCAGATAACATATTAATCTATAACACCTCAGCCATTATAATGAAACACTATTTTATTAAAATCGAAAACACCTCAAAGCCAATTATAAATATGTAGTGCTTCAAAGAACACATTACAAAAATGATTCATTCCCAAGTCATAAATAAGCCATTTTCATACCCAAATTCCACTTCCAACTTCAACTCTTCAACCCAAAAACTCAAGATCACAACTTTTTGCTATGAACCCAAATCAAAATTGCAACTTTCTTTAGCAATCTTAACAATGTTTATTGAATCTATGAACTCGTAGTGAAGTTCTTGATCTACACTGAACTGCCAAACTCTATTATATACAAATCAAAGTATAATTTAAAAAATACAAAAAAAAAAAAAACAAAACCATTAATCTTTTCTCTAATAAAACCAATTAAAAGCCAGAAATAATCAGTTCAGACCACCAAAAAACGACAGATTTCGAGCTCAAGTAACAGAAACTGAAACTCAGATGAAATGGGTTACCGCAATTTCGATATGGGTCTTCGGTATTTCGAATCGATTGGTACAGAGGAGAGAGAACGAGCTCAGGCTATCCTTTGATTTGGCTCTGTTTGGACGATACATGTCAGCTATATCGGAGTCAAATGAGACTTTGAGAGTCAGCTGAGAGTATATATGTAATGAGTGTTTTCGAATCTGTGTGTTGAGGAGACAATGGAAGAGAGAGAGAGCAGAGAGAGAGAGAGAGAGAGAGAGAGAGAGTGTGTGTGTGTGTGTGTGTGTGGAACCAATTCATCCAATCACGGAAGATTTTACACTGTTTCTGGTGCAAACAAGAACAATTATGGAATGGGGTCGAAATAAGGCAACAATGATATGGTCATTTCTATTTTTCTAGTGTTTGATTTCATACATGTGATGATGTGTCACTGGTATCATATTAATTATATTATTCACATCAATTAGTATGTCACTGTCATTTTGTTGTTATTTAACTAACTAGTATTTTTGTAACGAAATTTATGCTTTAAAAAAAAAAAATATTGAAGAAAATAATTTAATCCATATACTATTTTTTAATTTTTCCGAAAGAAATTAGGTCCGTATACTCTACCCCTCTTTTAAGAAGTATATATCATGTTACTAAACAGTTAGTTGGGTTTTTTTTTTTTTTTGTTTTTTTTTTTTTTTTTTTTTTTTTTTTGTCTGAATGAGTTAGTTAATTTATGTTGACTTGCAAGAGTAACATCATATATATATTTTTAATGTATCATAATTACAAAACAAATAATAACAGTAACTTTTTGGCACTTGTTAAGAATGGTTAATGACATATTTTTGACCAAAGGAAGAGATTACATATTTGAATTTGTATGTTGTTCAGTACATAATTAATGGTGATTTTGATGAAATCTTCAGCATGGAGTTTATTATGACAATCCTACCATAAAAAATTAATGGGTTTTGGTTTGGAAACTTTAGATTATATTTTTTTTCAAAACTTGACATTAAGGGATAAAAAAATAATTAAAAACAAATTTTTTTTTTTGTCTCTAGTGTCACGTGGCGCTTCTCCGTTAGCACTGTGCCAGATAACTTAAGAGTGAGGTGAATGGGTTCTCGTTTAGTTGATTTTTAGATTAATTTTATTTTAATAAATTTAAATCATAGTTAATTAATCACACAGGAACAAAGAAATAAAAAAACAAAGAAATAAGTTTCTATTTTATAATTATATTTTAATAATTTGTTGTTAGACAAGTCTTAGATTATAAGGAATTGCAATTTTGTCTAACAAAAAATTGAATTTTGAACATAAAGTTATGAACTGACACTTGTGAAGTTGTGAGATTAAGAAAAATGTAGCCCTAATTTCATAACAGTATAAGTAGAAAGGGGTTGATAGAATGTAGAGATGTAAATGACTAGTAGGAATAAAGTGTAAGAATTTATATATAAAATCTGAGTGTTGAATATTCGGTGCGAATTATAGTGTAATTTTTTTTATTCGTGAACGTAAATACAAAACTATAAAAAAAAAACTTGTGTTTTGTGTGATTGTGTGATTATTTTTCATTGGACATTGGTGTTCGCATATTTTTACTGTTGATTTCCTTTGCTGCTCTGATGTATTGAATAACTCCATAGATAGATGGTCTCATGGTAGAACACTACACTAGAGTACTAAACACTCAACATGAACGCATATACTCAAATTAAAAAGGAAGAAAACCAAGAAAAATCACAGATAGCCAATAAGTTATTGTGTATAATTCTTATCAAAGCTGAGAATTTATTTTATTTAAAAATCAAATTTACTCGCATATTCATTTATCTTTATTCAAACGAAAGACAGACGAGACAAGCACATAAAATAAAATATTTTTACAGACTTGAAGACATACTTACCTGAGTCAATGGGTGATCATGGATGCCAATGGCTTAGGTTTGTGACCTCCGTTGTATTTTGGAGGGTGCTTGCGTAAGGTCTACCCAAGAGTCCTGACCTAATCTAGCCAAAACATGTACTATGTGACTTTGTGTTCTTAATTGTCATGGATCTGTTCTCTAACATTCATTCTCTTCTTGTTGTCCCGTAAGTTAGAACTGCCATCTTTAAATTGCATTTATTTTCACTTTTGCTAATATTAAATACTTGAATCTATGTGTCAACAGCAGTGATAAATGAAGACCAAAGTTTTGAAAAGGTTACTTTTTTGGAAGAAATTTTTTTTTTTTCATTTTTAAAAGATGTTTTCTGTGTCCAAACAAAGCATTTGGAGTTATACGCAATTCTGTTCCAAATCTAGATCTGCACCAAACAGGGATAATGGATTAGGGTTTTTTAGGTCTAGAATTTCGATTCAGTTTCAATTATGCACAACCATATACACCTTATAAGAAAAAATTTCGAACTCTAGAATCATGTTCAACTCTAAAATGTCCATAACCTAGGTTTGTGAACTCCATTACATGCAGTTAGGAGGGGTGTCCGTCCAAGAGGTGGAGCTGATGTCACAATTTGGGATAGTGGGCCCCTCGGCCCCTAATCCTAATCTAGCCTAATATTGTAACCTTGTAACTCCTGACACATTTCTCAAGTTGAATATTAAATATTACAATTACCAAATTGAATCAAACACTATTGTGTCAAGCAAGAAACTAATGGTAATACCATCAAATGCCAATTTTTGAATATTTGTCACTATCTTTATAGATATTGCTAATAAAATTTTAATTATTATGATGAATTTAACTATTGGGTGCTCTAGCAAGTCGTATCAAAAGGAAGCCCCAGGCCACATATATACTACTCCAGTCCACAACACATCTTGTTCCCAATTTTTGTACAAAGGTAGATGTTGAGTTTAAAGAAGAAGAGGGAAGATCAAAAAAGTAAGGTTATGTTTCGCGGCACGGAATTGGAGTCTTGAAATTAGAATTGGTAAAATTGAAAAAAAATTTAGAAAAAACTTTTTTGAGTTGCTTTTTTCCAATTCTACCGATTCTAATTCCGATTCTAATTCTAATTCTAATTCTAATTCTATGCCTGCCAAAAGGAAGGAAGGAAGAAAATAAAAAATAAAAAAAAAATGAATGAAAGAGAAAGTCAATAAATTTTAAAATATTTTCACTCCTCTGCTATAATTCCAAACACAACATTGGGTTCTGAACAAGAAGCTAGCTCCAACCCAAAGTTTTGTACCTTATGGGTGCCCATATTTTGTCTTTTTCTCCACTGCGTGTGGTACGCATAATTGAAGTCTTGAACACCCAATGGTATGACATTCTGTTTAACATGATCACGTTGTAGTTTATCACAACAAGATCACATTGTAGATTATCACTGAATGGTGAAGAAAATCTACAGAACGGTCAGCCTTACCTTTTCAATTTTGCTATATACAACTCCAAATTTGTTTGTATGTAGTCCATTAGAAGAAGTTGAGAAAAAGTGTTAATGATGAGTCTCCACGTTATTCAAATCCAAAAATTTTATGATGTTTTTTGTGTGTATGAATGGAATAAAATGCCTATTTCAATCATTTATTTATTTGGTATATAATTTAAGATGGAGATGATCATTTCATGAGAATGAAAATCCATTCCACAATTAAACTTATCCAATGGCTATTCCATTCCAAAGTTAATTTTTTTAACAAATCAAGTTTTCAAAAAAACCATCATATTCCATGTCCAAAAATCACCAGCGCTTTCCACTACCACCACCACCACCTTCCACCGCAAGCACCACCGCCTTTCATTACTGTCACCTCCATTGCCTTCCACCACCATCATTGTCATTGCTACCATTGTTGCCGCCTTCTACCACCACACCGTTACCGCATCCACTGTCATTCACCACTGACTTCCACCACTACTACCGCCACCTCTATTGCCTTCCACCATCGTCATTGCCACCGTTATTGTCACAATCCCACCACTGCCACCTACACCATCACCTTCCACTACCATCATAGCTACTACCACCACAATCATCGCCTTCCACTACTACCACACCGCCATTGCCACCTCCACCACTACAGCCACCTTCCACCACCTCCACTACCACCCCCCACTGCCTTCTACCTCCATTACCTTCCACGCCACCATCTACACCATTGCCTTTTTCCACCACCGCCACTACCTTCCCCCAACACCACTGCTGCCTTTTGCCACCACCATCATTCTTTTTTAAAAAATTATAGAAGAATATTTTGTTAATTTAATTAACAGGGGTATTTTGGATAAATCAATTTGAAATTCATTCAATTCTAAATTTTAAATTAGTCCAACCAAATATTAAAAATGGTTATTATTATTCAATTCTATATTTGCAACAAAACACTACACATTTTATATTTGCAACTAAATAATAAAATGAGAATAATCATTCCATTCTCATTCTCATTCTTGCATACCAAACACATCATTATGGAACGTTAAGTTTGGTGTGTAGGAATGGAATGAATGTCCATTCCAACCATTCCTTTATTTGGTATATAATAAAAAGTGGGAATGAAAATCCATTCCATTTCCAAGTAAATTTTTTTAAAAAAATCAAGTTCCCAAAACACCTTCATGTTCCAAATCCAAAAACCAACATCACCACCATCATTTTCCACCACAACCACCGCCGACTTTCACCATCACCACCACCTCCATTGCCTTCCACCACTATCGCTGCCACCGCCACCATTGTTGCCACCTTCAACCACCACACCGCCGCCGCCTCTATTACCTTTAGAGTTTAGCCACTGCCACTGCCACCTCCACCTTGGCCACCGCCATTGCCGACTTCCACCAATGTTATCACCTTCGACCACCGCCACCTTCGACCACCACTATCGCCTTCCACCACCTCTACCACCATTATTGCCATTGCCACCACTATAGCTGCCTTCCACCACCATCACACCATCCCTGTCTCCTGTACCTTCCACCGCCACCAACTTCCATCACCACCGCCACTTCCATAGCTACTAACTTCCATCACCATCACCACCTTCCATTACCGCTGCCATCACCTCCACCTCCACCTCTACCTCTACCACTACTACCACCTCCACCACCACCGCCACTGACTTCCATCAGCACCATTATCTTCTACAACCGCCACTCCTATTGCCGTCTTCCACCACCACCACCACCACCACCGTCACCTCCACTTCCTTCCTTCCACCACTACCACCTACACCACTGTCATCTTTCACCACTACCACCACCGCCGCCTTTCACCATCATCACCTACGCCACTAACGTCTTCCACTATTACCGCATCTACCACTGCCTTCCGCCACCACCGTCGTCACCTTCCAACACCACCACCTACACCACTACTACTTTCCACCTCCACCACCATCAACCACTGCCGTCATTTCTTTTTAAAAAATTATAAAATAATGTTATTTTGTCAATTTAATTTATTTGCTACTTATAGGAGTATTTTAGATAATTCAATTTGAAATATATTATTTTCTAAATTTTACATTAATCCATTCTTACAAATTTCATATTTACAATCAAATAATAGAATGAGAATGGCCATTCGATTCCTGTTCTTATTCCATTCTTAATCGCATTCCATTCCAATTTAATCATGCGCAAATGCAACATAAGAGAATTAGTATTTTTTATTTTTTCACTTTTTAAAGCATCATAAAACTATAAGTAATTGTTAATAATAATAAATAAATAGTCAGATCCTAAGTCACACAATCCTTCTCAACATGTATCGCTCTCACATTTTAAGCGTGCTCCTACTCTTACGCTCCGCGCGCGCTCTCGTTTAAATTCTCAAGATTTATTTATGCCGTTCTCATGCTCACACTCTCGCTCTCAAATTCACTCTCACTCTCGCTCTCGCTTCCGCTTTATGTGTCTTAAGTCAGATCATTAAACTTTTATGAAAAATCCCAATTTATTTTTTTGGATAATTTACAATTAGCCTCCCCGAACAATAAAAATACATATATTATTCTTGTTTCATTGTGTAGCGAGAAATATTTCTTAATAACGATAGGCCGTTGACCTTATATGCAAACTTGCATAATATTTCAGGGTTAATATTAAAGTTTTTTACAATTTAAAGGGTTTTCCTGCAATTAATCTTATTCAATTTTTTTTTTTTTTTTTCGAAAAACAAGTAGAATTTGAAGCCGGCTAGAAGTTTAATAAAGCTGTCGTGAAGTCGCCCATTCGTAAGATACCTCTCGTAAAGTTCGACTTCCAGATCCCCTTCGTTGGGAAAGAGAGAGAGAGAACCGATTCTAGAGAGAGAAAGAGACAACTAGTCGCCATGGCCATGGCGATTAGGGTTTTTCTCCTTCTTCTGCTGTTCTTATCATCGTCATACCTTTCATATGCCCTCTACGAAGATCAAGTCGGACTTATGGACTGGTTAGTGTATATCTATATCTATACATACACATACACATATATATCACTTCCTTTATATGGATTATATTGACAGTTCAATTTATCTTCGGACTTATGGACTGTTTAGCCTATATCAATACCTATATACAAACACGCACGTACACGCATATCACTTGTATTGATACATCGTTCTATTGTATTGATATTCAATTGATTGTGCTTCTCTTTCATTCATTCGTTCAAAGGCTTTATGATCTTAGTTTTATTTAATGGATTAAATTTGTCATTGCAGGCATCAACAGTACATAGGAAAAGTAAAGGACGCAGTGTTTCACACTCAAAAGACAGGACGAAAGCGCGTCGTGGTATCCACTGAAGAGAACGTTGTTGCATCGCTTGATCTCCGCCGTGGCGAGATTTGTAATTCCAATTCTTTATCTTGTAAAAGTTTTAGCTAGAATTACTAGTTGATTTGTGATTTTGATTTGGGAAGTTAATGTTTACTTTGTTTTGTTTTGTTTTGGTTTTGTGCAGTTTGGAGACATGTCCTTGGGACTAACGATGCCATTGATGAAATTGATATCGCACTTGGAAAATGTAATTTTGCCCCTTTTTCCTTGTCTAATTTATGTTATGTGAGTCACATTATTAGGAGCTTAGTTAATTGGTCATTACTATTCAGGTTTTAGTTTCTTTAGCATACTTTTTCCATCAAGCATTGTAGTGGAAAATTCTTTTGTACTCAATAGTTATTAGAGGCACGGCTCAATGGGCACTAAGGCACCAAGGTTTCTAGAACCTAATTGAAGTAAAGCGTGTCCGTGTGATAAAAATGAATATTAAATAAAATAAGAAAATACTAAAATATGCATGACAAACTAGTCAAGATCCCAATAGAAGAATTTTCGTCAACCAAATTCTTCAACCTGCTCCTCTCTCTATATACCAATCTAGAACTTTGTTACATGTACTTGGTACATGTGTCAGGTGCGAGTAGGTGTCTGAGCATAGCGGTTAAAGGCATGCCTAGGCTCCAAAAAGGCCTCAGGTCATTAAGACACAACCAGAGCGCGTCAACCTACTCCAGGCGAAGTCCCTTCAGTCAGAGCTCTTATTTATTAATCTTTTAGTCCTATCATTTTCCTCTTCATTTAATTGAATATGAATTTATGTACCCCACATCATGTTCGTATTTAATCTTATCGTATGTTTGACGAAATTCACGAGGTTATGGTGCCTATTTACATTAGTTGGTTGTGGTGCTTGATTCTGAATTTGCATGATAATATATTATATATTTTAAATCTACATGATTTCTGCTTTTATATTGTTTTGTTTTTATGTACAGAATTACAGATCTTGTTAATGCATATGCATATTTAAAGGATTTTTTTTGCATTGGTTTATTTGATCTACAAATTTTACGTGTCAAAATTATAATTTAAAATACTTTTAATTAATTGTTTTCATATTTTGAAACGCTTCAAATGTATATTGATTTAATTGAATTTATATGCAAACTATTAAAAGATATATGCATATTAATTTACTGAATCAATTGAATTGATATTACAAAGTTCCAACAGTTAGATCATTATTAGTTTATGCTGTATATTTATTTATTTTTCTTTATACTTATATTTAGTACCTCTTTTTTTTTTTTTACACATGCGTCTTAGTTCAAGAAGGCTTGTGTCTTATGTTGCCCCTTGCCCTTAGGCTTCCTAGAGAACTTATCACTTTACTGTGCCTTGAGTTTTTAACTATGTGAGCATCAGATCTATCAATCGCCAAACCTAAGGACAGGGCATGTGACTAAATATTCATATTACAGTATTTAATATTTTTATTTTCTTTGACAGAGTAAAATAATGTCATTCATTTGAAACAGAAAAATAATAACAATGAAAGAGTTTTATGTATTATTACATAAATAATAAATTCAAATTATTAGATATTTTGTTAGGTGCATGTCCAACCATACGCCTTGGGAACATAACCCATACACATGTCTGAATGTCATGCGTCCGGGACAGATACTTCACACATTTTTTAAGGAGTTTGTGTAAGATATGTTAATATGTTACATCTGGAATGCTTATAGAAAGATTTACATGAATACTCCAAAGTAGTTAGAAAATTACCTTTTTTAATTTGTGTTATGTCTTTTGGTTGATGATCATAAGATCCTGGCAATAATGGTAAACCACATTACATGTCTCAATAGTGGGTTTTTAAATTTACAGCTTGGGATTGGCTTTGTAGGAAATCTTCATTAACCCCATATCATTCATTTGTTTTGATAATTTCTAAAAAGTACAATATCTCAGTAGGTAGTATCATCTTGTTTCTGCTTGTGATGGGCAATCAATACTTAGCCTTTGTTCTTCAGAGATAGCACTCATGATAGCTTTCTGTTCTAATATTCTCTTACAGATTGCAATCTCCTCTCCTACAGGTGCAAAGCCAAGATAACTTTCTTCTTTTTTCCCAAAATTTCATCCTTGTAGATTAGCATTGAAAATCTAATCGCTTGTCTAATTACGGACTAAGGAATATTAAATCTTAGACTCATATATGGAAGTACTTAAAAAGCCACATGTTTTGAAATGCCTTTTTCCAAAAGATTTAGAAAGAGAAATTGCCTAATATTCTAATATTCGACCTAAGAGAACAAAGTTTTATGTTTCATTTACCTTACGATGATTAGTTCTCACATCACTTCTTTCAAATAAGGGAATAAAAAGAGAAGGAAAGGAAACAAACATTGAGCACCCACATTGTGATCTGCAGTGGTATACATCATTGGCATACTGAATTTAGAAGATTTATGTTAAACATTCATAAATATTCGCATTGTGATATTCAAGAATATATATATATATATATATATATTCGCATTGTGATCTGCAATGGTATACATGATTTGCTTACTGAATTCAGAAGATTTTGGTTGTTTATTCATAAAAAAGTTATTTTTGAAAATGAGCTCTTCCCATCATTATTTGCCACTATTGTTTTTGCTTTTTGCATTTACCAATGGAAGTCTATGACATTATCAACCATGTAGTCCTTGGATGGTCCATTAAATGTTTAATTCATTCATTTTTCTCCAGATGTCATTACCCTTTCTTCAGGGGGAAGTATTTTAAGAGCATGGAACCTTCCTGACGGGCAGATGGTGTGGGAGTCTCTCCTACTGGGCTCAAAAGCGTCAAAATCTTTATTATCAATTCCGGTTAGTGGATAACCTTCTATATTAGCTGAATCCTTTGAATGACGTTCCATGTTTACTGGAAACCTGTCAATGGACATCGTTCTCTCTCACTCGCAGATCATTGTACTCAACACACTGTTTACACAAACTTTATGCGGTTCTTTTGTCAAAATTAATTTTTATTACAGTTAATATCCTTAATCCATGATGATTACTGTCACCATCAAAAGTTCTGCCCTGCCCATTCTCTAAATTAGTTGCAAAATCATGAGTTGCTGGATTTGCAGATTCTGCTTATTCTAGGTTAAAGTGTCTGTTCAATATGTGTTTTTGCACCTTTCCTTTTATTATATACCATGTTCTTTTGGGTTTTCCTTGCCTCTCTTCAAAATTGCTCTGGCAAACTCTTCTCTGTTCATTAACCTTGATACAGCCTATGCAATGCATTCCACAAAAATATTATTTGAAGCGACATTAATGACAGCATTATTATGCAGAAAAATTTAAAAGTCGACAAGGACAGTGTGATCATTATTTACAGTAATGGGTGTCTGCACGCTGTTTCAAGCATAGATGGCGAGCTTCTTTGGAAGAAGGAGTTAGCAACTGAAGGGTTTGGAAAATCAAGAAATTAATATGTCAGTTTGTACTTTCAGATTAACATTACAAATTGTTTACATATGATGTGTTTCTGTTTGCAGCATTGAGGTTCAGCAGTTAATTCAGCCTCTTGGAAGTGATATAATATATGCTGTAGGATTCGTTGGTTTGTCCCAGTTTGACGTTTACCAAATTAACCCAAGAAATGGCGAGTTGATGAAGCACAACAGTGCAGCGTTACCTGGTGGCTTCTCTGGAGAAATAGCAGTAGTTGCAAGCGACACACTGGTGATGTTGGATTCCGCAGGATCAATTTTGGTATCAGTAAGCTTCAGGAATGGAGAAATTAGTTTTTACCAGACGCAAGTTTCAGATCTCATTCAGGATTCTACTGCAATGGCAGAGATATTGCCTTCTAAGCTTACGGGGATGTTTGTTTTAAAAATCAGTTCAACTATAGTACTTATAGAAGTGACAAATGAAGGCAAGCTAGAGGTAGTGAACAAATTTGGTGATGCTGCAGCTGTTAGTGATGCTCTTTCATTATCAGAGGGCCAAGAAGCTTTGGCACTAGTTCAGCAAGGAGGTAGTAAGATTCACCTCACCGTGAAGCTTGTTAATGATTGGAGTAATGATTTGCTTAAGGAGAGCATTGAGCTGGATCACCAGAGGGGACATGTGCATAAGGTCTTCATTAACAATTATGTTCGAACAGACAGGTCTTATGGATTTAGGGCTTTGATTGTCATGGAAGATCATTCTCTGTTGTTACTGCAACAAGGTGCGATTGTCTGGAGTAGAGAGGATGGGCTTGCTTCAATTATAGATGTAACAGTATCGGAATTACCTGTTGAAAAGGATGGTGTATCTGTAGCAAAAGTGGAGCACAGCCTTTTTGAATGGCTCAAGGTAAGAGGCTTTAGAAATGCTAGAATTCCTTGTTTACAGTAAAATTGCATTATGTCATTTAAAGCATTGCGGTTTAGTATATGGAAAATATAATCTAGAGGTCTCTCTTAACAAGAACCATATACTCTCTTTAATAGCCATTGGCTGAAGAAATTTATTACAAGATCGCTTTGATTTTGTCTTTTTATTGACAGATCTTGAGATTATTTCAATTTAGTGATCAATAAGGAGAGAACTCATGACTTGTCACAAGAGAGGCCTCTTGATAGCCTTGCTCTTAATAAAGTTCATGATTGGATTCCATTATATCTGGGTTTGGAATTACTACTGCGTAATTTCACTTGCAATACCTTTATACAATGAAATATGCATAATGATTTAGATTAAACAGATAAATAAACTAATTGTTAAAGATAAAGTCTTTAGTAAGTTCCCTTTTCATTTTCTCGCCATATTAATTTTGATTCTCTTGCATTAAATGATCTTTATAATCATGTTTATCTTACAGACTTTGTATGGTTACGAGTGTGGTGCCCATTCCGTGGTCTATCATAGTAACCAGTGGTTATGGAAAAGGAAATCTACTCATAATATACCATAAAACTTTGAATGGTTTTCAATTATGTCCAGTTTTTTGTCCTCATTGGTTGTACATCTTGTCCACCTTTTGTTCTTGGTCGTTATCCTTAACAGAATTTTTATTTCCTAAAAAAAGAAAAAAGATTTAATTTTTTTTTTCACATGGGTGCGTAGTCCATACGATATAAGTACCTACTAGTTATTGTTGACTGATATTGAGTTGAAAAGATTGAGCCTGACGTATGGCTTATTAAAATTCTAAAATATTAAAATATAGCCATGGGTCTGGGAACTTAGCCTGCCTGTTCAAAAGTAAATAATAAATAATAATTAATCAATGTAGTTTTTCCTCTCAATTTTTTGTTATTACATGGATTCACATCCTGAAAAGGTGAGAGCCACAAGTACTTTTTGAACATATCTTTTTCCCTTTGCCAAGGTATCGGGTTCCTGCCTACAGCAGAAGGGCACTGGTGCAAAATTATGAGATTGGATTTTTCCTGTTTCATCAGTTCATATCTTTCAACCCTGTAATCATTACATCGAATATTATATGCATCTCATTGACTGTCCCTTATGAGTGGGTTTTTGATATGATGTTCTCTTGTTGAAAGGGACACATGCTGAAGCTTAAAGGAACTCTAATGCTTGCAAGCCCCGAAGAAGTAGTAGCTATACAAAGAATAAGGTTAAAAAGCTCTGAGAAAAGCAAAATGACCCGAGATCACAATGGTTTCCGGAAGTTGCTCATTGTACTTACTAAGGCAGGGAAACTTTTTGCTTTGCACACAGGAGATGGACGAGTTGTCTGGTCTCACTTACTGCATTCTCTTCGGAAATCAGAAGGATGTGAATTTCCCACTGGGCTTAATTTATATCAGTGGCAGGTCCCTCATCATCACGCATTGGATGAGAATCCATCTGTTCTTGTAGTTGGCAGATGTGGACTTAGTTCAAATGCCCCCGGTGTTCTTTCTTTTGTTGATACTTATACAGGGAAGGAGCTTAATTCTTTGGGCCCTGATCATTCTATTGTGCAAGTTATTCCACTGCCATTTACTGATTCAACGGAACAACGCCTCCATCTACTGATAGATGCTGGACAGCATGCCCATTTATACCCCAGAACTCCAGAGGCTATTGATATATTCAATCGTGAGTTTGCGAACATATACTGGTACTCCATTGAGGCTGATAAAAGCATTATGCGGGGTCATGCTTTGAAGAACAAATGTATTCTCGAGGTAGCAGATGAATACTGTTTTGAGTCCAAGGATTTATGGTCAATTGTATTTCCCTCAGAGTCAGAAAAGGTCATTGCAACCGTGACAAGAAAATTGAATGAGGTATTTATTCTCATGAATGTTTTTGAAGATTTTATTCTCATTCTTTATTTAATACTTGTTAATAAATGTCATATCTCTTCATCTTTTTCATTGTCATTTAAATATTTTTTCTTTAGGGTTAATTACACTCACACCCCATGAGGTTTGTCTTATTGACAGGCAGATGATAGTTAATTTCTTAATCTAAAATATTAAAACATTTACGTGACCGAAATACCCCCATCATTATTATCCACATGTTTTAGGCACCTGTCATCAGTCATCACCCTCACCTACCACCACTGCCCCAAAAAACATGACCGCCACTACAGCCACCTCTCAACCTCCTATACACCATCACCACCATGGCCACTGCCACCTCCTCCCACCATGGCCACACTGTGAAACCGCCACCTTGAGGGTAATCAGAGAAATCGTTGTTCTAGTATGTGTTGAAGACGAGCAACAAGGTATGATGTGGAGTTCTAGATTAGTCCAGATTGAGTTGAATTTGGGCCTTGTAAGTCTCAGATTGTCATCGTCAAAGGGGAAGGGATGGCATCGTGGGGTCGGATCACCCATTTTCCAGTCCCAACCGCCACCGGAATGGGCTCACGCACCCCACCGTCGCCGCGTGTGGGTTGCACCCACTTGTGGCGCTTCATCTTCTTCCTCAGGGAGAAGAAGCTCTGTTTCCCTTTTGCCACCAGCAACCAACGTCGTCATCTTCTTCACGGGCATCATCGGAATATCGTTGCAACGCTTTTGCCAATGCAAACCAACGTTCTTCCCGGTCACACCATCCTGGTGAATCGCTACCACCCCACCACTTCAACCACCACCATTGCCACGCAACCACTTCCACCACAAGAACACAGAAACTAAAATAATTGACCACCACCTCAATGTTAACCAACCAACCATGAACTTCTCTCAACGTGTTGGAAAATTCAAGCAATTTATAGAATTGCAGATCTCTCTCTCTCTCTCTCTATATATATATATATGAGTCTGTGAGACTGTGATTCTATCTCTCTCAATATGGAATTTATATATATATATATATGAGATCTATTCTTACATGTGTGTGGATTTGGATGGTGATTAGGCTGGATTTGATGATGTATGTATATGGGTGGTGGTGGTGGTTGGGATGTGGAGTGGTGATGGTGGTGGGTATGATACAAGGGTTTGGAAGGTGGATTTCACCCACATTTTTTAGTGGCATTTTTTTGCATATAAGTGTAGTTTGGTCTAATTAATGAGTTGTAAAGGTTAAATATGTAATTCTAGATTCCAAACAAGTCACCTATCAAGTCAAAGGGCAATAATGTCAATTCACTGTTTCAGATGTGGCAGAGGGGTGCCTTTGTTAACTTTGTCAAATCTAAGGGGTTGTCAATGTTCAAAAAGGGGCCAACTCTCATGTGATTGTCAATAAGCCAAACCTTTAGGGGTGTCATTGTAGTTAACCCTTTTTGTTTTTATAGAAACACTTGGTGCAATTTTCTTCTTATTCCTATTATTTTTTAAATGTCTGTACTGTTGTAGACTTATCTTTTTGTAGTGATGCTTATAGTTGAATTGAGTGATACTTCCAGTTGAATTAGAGGTATCAATTTTTTTATTATTTAAATTGTCATAATTGATAATTGACCTCTCATGACTCATCTTCAATCATTACACAAGATAAGAATGAATAATCAGCTCAAAGTATCAATACAAACACCCTGCCTTCATTCTACACATCTAACATGTATAGTCTTTCTAGTCAAACCCTTCTTGTACTATTCATGCCATTTACTTGTCATTTTACTATTTTTGATGTTCTGGAATGAAAAATATGACAAGTTTCTCCTATGGTAATACATGACAACTATCCTGCTCTAAGCATTGGGATAGTATTATTAATGTGTTGAACAATAAATCATTAAATGTCGGTTTTGTATCCACTCCAGAAGGGCATTATCTAGTTTCTTGTGTATATGTAATTTTGGGGTTTTGAGTGGCCTGAACAAGTTTCTATATCAGTACTGAGTATTGAGTCCCGCCAATGTATGGTGCTGGGGAGTGGACTGGACGAAGACATTACGTTGGTATTATTTGCACAAAGTGGCTGCTATGAGACTTAGATATTGTATTCTCAAACTTAATCACTTATCTCTTGACATCATTGCGTTCATATAGTGCTTTAAGCATTTCCCTCAACTGTATGATTGGTGAAGGAAAGTTTTTCAGCCATATTATAGTCATTTAGATTAAAATACCTTTGCTTTCTTATGGCCTTTGGCTCTCTTTGAACTAGATTTATTGTTTGTGGGATTTCATGAGGGTTTATCGAAGTTTCATGGCTATGTCTGTGGACTACAATAATCATCGTGTCTTATTTTCTTCAGGTGGTTCATACTCAAGCGAAGGTAATAGCAGATCAAGATGTGATGTATAAATATATATCAAAAAATCTGCTTTTTGTGGCTACCGCTGCTCCTAAAGCCATTGGTAAAATTGGTTCAGTAACCCCAGAGGAATCATGGCTAGTCGTATATCTTATTGATACTGTAACTGGTCGTATACTGCACCGCATGACTCATCATGGTTCGCAGGGTCCTGTCCATGCAGTAAGTGTAGATATTCAGCTTCAGTGAGCTTGTTTGTTTTAGTTATTTGAAAACTGTTTTCAAAAAATATGGAAACACAAAATAGTTTCTATAGATAATAAAAATGACTCTTTTCTTAAATTAGGTTCTTTTTCTTTATCTAGGTTTCAGAGAACAGTTTTTAGTAAACTGTCAACCAAACTCGAAACTGTTTTCTTTTTCTTGTTTTTAGGAACAGAAAACTATTATTAGAAAATTTTACCTAACAAGCTCAATATTTTCACAGATGAACTAAATTTTCCAGTATGTATCTTTCTCTCTCTGAAGGTTTTTAGTGAGAACTGGGTTGTCTACCACTACTTCAATCTAAGAGCACACAGATATGAGATGGCAGTCATTGAGATCTATGATCAGTCCCGAGCGGTATATGTTGGAACTTGAATGATCTGCATTTCTTTTGTTCATACTGTAAGATCCTCTGCCATTTCTAAATTAATGATTTACCATCCTCAGGACAACAAAGATATTTGGAAGCTTGTTCTTGGAAAGCATAATCTTACTTCACCTGTGTCTTCGTATTCTCGTCCTGAGGTCATAACAAAGTCACAGTCTTATTTCTTCACCCATTCTGTGAAATCAATGGCAGTCACATCCACAGCCAAGGGCATAACTTCCAAGCAGCTTCTTATTGGCACTATTGGCGATCAGGTTTGCTTATATCATGAATAAATCTGAATTTTGAGTGCTTATTGAGATCTCATTTTGTCTTTCTGCTTCTCTCTTTTCTGTGCTGCTTTCTCTTGGTTTTGTTTTATTTTTCTTTCTTCGATGACAGTCATGCCTGAATCGGTACCTGTTGCTTAGTACATTCTTATGCATAAAAACTGAGTGTAAGTCAACATTTTACAGGTTTTGGCACTTGATAAGCGTTTTCTCGACCCTCGTCGCTCAATCAACCCCACACAAGACGAGAAAGAGGAAGGGATTATACCCTTAACGGATTCTTTACCAATCATTCCACAGGTGCATTGCCCGTATCACTCTTTTTTCTACTTTTTAAACGTTCCTAAAACTGTTATGTGGGTTTGCTGTCTAATTTTTCTTGGTTCCCTCCTTGCTTTTTTTTAGGTACTTCTCAACTTAAAGTAGTAAAAAAAATGTACAGCAAAAATCAAAATTGAAAGTACTGTCCATAGTAACCAGAAAACAGTAATGGCATGGATCCATATTTTTAGTGCACACGTTCCAATAATGTGGAGCTGTTCAAAACAATAAACTTATTGAATCAAAAGATTCTCTTTTATTTCTTTTCCTTGTTTACTTTTATAAGCTGACAAATTAAGTTATCAATCAAATATCTAATGGAATAGAGTATCTTTTAGGAGAAAAATACATGGAATGAAAGGATCATAAACATCTCTTAACTTGTGTTTATATATACTTAAATGTTTTTACACGATTAAGTCTATATAATTCATATTCCCAGTAATAAATGGACTACTTGTTTATATTAATAATACTAATGTCATTAATCATTCCCTATATATAAGAAAACCACCCTTGCAATTAGATTCTCCAGTTTTGTTCTACAGAACATACCACAACAATCCTTGGTTCTACGTAACATTGTATAGTTATATGCTATGCTCGAATCTTGCTGCACTCATAAATATTATAATGGAATTTACTTATCAAAAAATATATATATATTATAGTGGAATTCAACGTGTAATTGGAAAATTAAGGAAGTAATTGGCTAAACTTTAATTTGACAAGCACACAAAATGACTTAGGGTATTTTGGCGCTAAATTAACTTATAGTTGGTTGACGAAAATTTTGAAGCTTCCTATGTTTATCTTTATTGCCCTGGCTGAAATCCAGGTAACTTATAGTAAACTTTGGGATTAGCAATCACGCGACACAACAGAAGATAACATTATAAATTTATAAATATTGCAATTGAAGACCAAGAATTATTCAAAATAACTACTATCATTTTTTAGGGTCAACATTACAAAAAGATGGGCAGATAAATTGTGATGTAGTAAGTAGGATTGAAACAGGGTGGAAAAAATAGAGACAAGCTAGTTGTATCCTATGTGACAAACGAATATCAAATAAATTAAAAGAAAAAATCTATAGGACGGTTATTAGGCCAGCTATATTGTACGGAGTAGAGTGTTGGTAAAAAGAAACAAGAACAATCGTGTAAAGGAAATGATGATGCTACCATGGAAGATAGGAGTGACTATAAGAGATAAGATTAGTAATGAATGAGTGAGGGAAAAACTAGGAATAGCGCTTATTCATGATAAAATTTGATAACTTGGGTGGTATGGTTACATACAATGTAGATCCGAAGGTAAGCCACATAAAGGCTGACTGAAACTTACATTTCCATTAAGTAATTAATAATAATTTATAAAAAAATTAAATATTAAAGGAGACATGGGATATAATAGAAAAGAACAGAAGATTAGTAATGAATGAGTGAGGGAAAAACTAGGAATAGCGCTTATTCATGATAAAATTAGATAACTTGGGTGGTATGATTACATACAATGTAGATCCGAAGGTAAGCCACATAAAGGCCGACTGAAACTTACATTTCCATTAAGTAATTAAAAATAATTTATATAAAAATATATATATATATATTAAAGGAGACATGGGATATAATGGAAAAGAACAGAAGAAGAGATTTTTACTGACCCCATCCATATGGGATAAAGACACGGATGATAGTGATTAACCATGCAACACTGGATTTTTTATTCTCAAATATAGTTGGTAAGTATTGCAGAAATGGTTGAGAAGCTGGGTTTCATATGTAATTTGGTGCAACTTGGTGTTTGTTCTTAAAAGGTGACTACTGACTTTTAACAAACCAATGAAATATTTGCTTTTACTTACAAAATAAGAAGGTAATGTTAAATTGAAATGAAAATGATCTGGTGGAACCATGTCGAATTCTTGAGGGAAATATACTGCCAGTTCATGTTTGTTAGTCTTTTATTAAGAGGAATATGGCCCAGAGCTGTGATTCTGTGATATTTGCATCTGAAGTTCTGAACCAATTTAAAAGTCATGTTAATATAATTGCATCATTGATTCTTCCTACAAATAACATTGACATGCAAATGAACAAAGCTCGTCTGTGGTTGGTAACTTGAATTGGTGGTTTCTCTAATTGCCTCTAAACAGAGTTGGGCTAGCTAAGTGAACCCTGGAATTGAATTATAATTGTTGCAGTTCTTATTTTGACTTATATACATCCTTTGTTACATGGATTCTTCAAAAGTAGTGAAGTTCCCGTGTTGGACACATGGGATATATGTCTTGACACTTTTGGTTAGACATGCACTTAAAAACATATCCATTCAATTATTCAATTATATTATATTGTTACTTTAAAATGAGTTAAATGTTTATTGACACTATGTTACATAAAAACGTTACTTTGCTCTATAGATAATTAGATAAAATGAATGGTTAGCTGTGTCCATGTGTCCTCGTGTTTGGATATTTGACATGTCCAATGCATGGATACATACCTGCACCCGAGTCCATGTAATATAGTATACATCCACATTTAGTAAATATTTTCATGTAATTGTTTATTTTTATACTGATCCAAGGATTGTTTTGTAGTCTTATGTGACACACGCCCTTAAAGTGGAAGGCCTGAGAGGCATAATTACAGTACCTGCAAAGCTGGAGTCAACCACCATTGTCTTTACATATGGAGTGGATCTCTTTTTAACCCAGCTGGCACCTTCACGGACCTACGATTCGCTTACGGAAGATTTCAGCTACGCTCTGCTTCTCATTACAATTGTTGCCCTTGTCGTGGCAATTTTTGTAACGTGGGTTTTGTCCGAGAGGAAAGAACTGCAGGAGAGGTGGAGGTGAGGCTAAGTCTGTCCTCCAATCCGTTTTTAGTCCCTCATAACTTTTTTCCCTCTTTAGGGTACTTCTTAATTTTTGAATTAGGCTGTCCTCTCCTAAGTTGTAATTTTATATAATTTTGTAGCATGCACTTTTCCCTTGTTTTTCTTATTCCATTTTATTTAAAAATTTAAAAATTTTAGTGGCGCTCGATGTTGTAAATCCAGATTTTCTGGAGAAAAGGTTCCCGGAATATGTAACGAGTTCAGTTGCAACCTGGAAATTAGTTGTTTACAAGTTGAATTTTCCATTGTATTCTCGAATTCCAAGGTGTTGTATAGACATGGTTTTGTTAATTTAGTTGAAGAATGGATTAGACATCAAATACAATCCCATAGTCATCGGTGCTGCCATTACCAAATTACGGTCGATCTCATATGGTTGTTGAGTTTCATTATGGTATTGCCCTTTCTCAAGAAAGTCTTTACTGCCATCTTTAAAAACCATAGCAACACACCACCTTTGTTGGAAACTCGAATGTTGCAAAAAATACGAGGATTTGGAACCTCTCTAATAGTTTTTCTGTTCAAACATCTTCAAGCCAACGTCTAATGATTATGAATATGTGTTAAAATTTAGCGTGAAGATGTTTGGAGAATACATAATATTGTAAAGGAGAAAGAACTAAGAGTAATGTGGATAACTTATTTACTTTGGTCAATGGTGGCCACATGGCCTGGGCAGGTTGGTAACCTATATTGCACGTAATGCCCACCTAAGGTCTGCTGAAATTGGAGTCCAACTTTTTCAGATATTGTTTGGGCCTATATTGTGGTCCAAGTTTTTTAGATATTATTTGGGCCTTATATTGTGGTTCAACTTTTTAGATATTATTTGGGCCTATATTGTGGTTCAACATTTTAGGTTTTGATCGGACGTAATAAATTGTACTCAAACAAGAAGGTTGAACTACCTTGGAGGTTGTTATCTCAATTAAAATCGGAAAATTTTCAAAAATAAATATAAAGTAGGAAGGAAAACCGCACTTTGAATTGAAAATTTTTCAATTGTTTTCTTTCAAATGATTTTCTCACTTGTTTTCCAGACCTTTTTTCTTTTTCTTTTCTGCTAAAAGTTAAGAATTAATTTGAAAATAAAATATTTAAAGCTTTAGATATATTCTATAGAAAAGCATAACCAATGACAATTGGTTTTAACATACATAATTTTTATCCCTAATTTCTTAGCACTAGTTTTTATCGAGTTTGATCAATTCAACCCACTCATGAAATTTTTCTATGAACCCTAACCTTTCTTCTAATAATCATTAATCTTAATCATTAGCTGTTCAAAAGGCATATCAAAGTAAGTTTCCTCTGATACCAAAACTGATGTAGGACAAAAGACAGGCTCAAATAGAAGAAAGTAAATAAGAGTTACGGGCTGGAAATTCAAAAACAAAGCTAAGATTCAGGGTTGTTAGAAGAAAAGAAGGATTGAAAAAAAAAACGAAAAGTATATTGGAATCATTCCAATAGAATCTAGGTATCACACCTGGCATCCTCACAATTTGTAAATCACTCATAAAGAAATAATTTTATTCAATCATTTGCTGAGTATTCAGAGTTACATAGTATCCAATGGAGATAATCAAAATTGACTCTAATAACAAATAACTTAATTGATGTAATTTAATCTAGCTATGCAATTTACCAAAACAAACAATGTAATCGAATAGTTGACTGTAACTTAATAAAATAACAAATAACTTAATTGATGCATTTACCAAAATAATGAAATTTGACCCAAATAGTGGAGCGTAGGAGCTTATTGTTTACAAATGCAACTCCACGCCTATTTATAGACATCTTACCTAACTTCTAACTCTCCCCATAAATGCTCTAATTAATTTCATTCTACAAATATATACTAATATCTCCAACTTGTCCACAACCTTCCAACTCTCAACAATATTCCATGCTTCTTTAGACAAATGTGAAAGACTGCAACACATTACGACTCTCCTTACAATACTTCATACTTAAACAAATGTAAAAGACCCAGAACATTACTCTTCTCATGCCATGTAGAAGCCTCTCGACGCTCGCGTGTTGCATGTGGCGCAATTTTCTCTGTCACAATTAGGCGGGCCGTGACACTATTCTAGTCAATGAATTCAGAATGAACATCTTTATTTTTAATTTGAACATCATTTCTCCAATTTTAAAATGTGTTCGAATTAAGATTTAATTGTATTGAGTGCACAACAGCGTACTTGGACTCCTACCTGAACATATATATATATTTTTTTCCTGTCCAAACAAAGACAACATAACTAAAGAACAAGGAAGAAAACAACTACACAGCATAGAGAAGGAAGTCCTGCTCTAAGGCCTGCAAGATTTGGGAAGGCCAAACATCCCAGTGTGCATCACCATCACCGGATTTAGAACAAAAAGATGAGCAACTGCATCGCTTGTTCTGGGCGCCCGACAAAGGCGAAAATGAGCATTAGCCCGGAGAAGAGACCAGATATTATCCGGAATCGGAACTGGAAGAGGGTCTTGAGGCCTGAAATTGATGATTGATAAACAAGTAATAACGGTACAAGATGTAATTATGAGTTCCTCCATTTAGGAATATAGATAAAGCAATGGCCCTCCAACTAATTGGAGAAAAGGTTTGAGTTGAGTTGACACGGATAAAGCCATATCTAATGTGAAATGAGAACTACGACTGACTCAATTATTGATTTCTCTTTTTCAGTAGGAATGAGAAAACGAAGCACATTTTTTATTTACATCTATTTCTCTTATTCATTACTGTCCTTGTACAATATGAGAAATTTATTGGACCAACAAATGCGTTCAGTAACCCAATACCTGCAACAAACTTACAAGCTAATTGTCATGGACGCAAAGACGTGTTCTGAGTCCCACATCGGATGTGTTCTGGGTGGTGCCGTGAACACTACAAATGACCGGACGTAGGGTCTCCCGGGAGAACTATTTATGTATGGTGCAAGGGTCCGGGCAAGGGACACATAAATGTGTAAAATACCACCCACATTTTAGTTTCCAAATGCATATGATAGTGTGACACTAAATTAATCATTGCTGAAGCAAATATAGAAGCTACAAGAAGGTTTATTTTAGTCAATCACAAGACACTTCCAATTTACAATCATCAAGTCCTAAATGAGCTGAATTTGTGTCCTTTTATTTCCACTCCTTTCTGATCAAGGATGGAGAATACGCATCAAACAAACTGTAAGAACCAGCAACAAACCAAACACTGAATAACGTTAAGAGCCCCGTCAAAACCAAAGGGGAATGTAAAGGTTTATATGGAACATTATAAACTATGACACCAAAACACAGATCATATTAAAATATATATACATTTTAAATTTATTGTCAGAAATGTTCAGGCATATGCAGGCCATACCTAGCACCCAGCATGGCTGTTGTAGCTCGACTTTGGACAGCGAAGAAGCCCGTCAAGATCCAGAATCAAATGGTTTAAGTTCCCCAAATACGCGTTCATATGTGGAATCTGACTGGCCTTTGCTGTCGAAGATTATGGCCCATGAGATTTTCTAATTTTGCTGGGGTGATGAGACCATGAAAACGTCACCTGCTGAAAAAAAGAAGCAACCCAGCTGGGAATTCAAGCAACAATCTTAGGTGATGCAAAATTGTCCTATAATTATCATTTTAGTGAGGTGTATTTTTGAATCGAGGAGATGAAAGAGGTTCTAATGTCCCCAACTGCTATTGGCATTTGACCACACTATGATACATGATTCAGACGCTCTTTAATAGCTGTGCGCTTTGTAACCCTCTGTCTCTTTCTCCCATCAACATTAAACAAGCCAGATCTATCCATGGAAGGAATCCTCTTTCTGAATTTGAGATCTTCACCACTTATCATGTACACATTTCCTGCTTCTGGTATGCTAAAGTCAGCTGGGTTTCTGTTAACAGTGCAGATGTCAACATTGGAAATGCTTTTCATACACCAAGTGTTTCCATTCGCAGCATGGGCCACCAAGTCCATTCGCTTAGATGATTCTTCAACTGTATGACATTGAAAGGGAAACACTAGAGACTCTGAAACACCAAGGACCACTTTTTGCTTATCCAGAACAGGATTAGAAGCATGACTTGTGCCTGCAACACCAGTCCTGCAAACATACTTTTGTGGTTTCCGGCCTCTATTTTGTGTGGATGAATAAGAGCCTTTCTTTTTCCCTTGCTCCAGAGATTTTGGAGAGACTAGACCTGCATAACCAGTGGCTTTTTTGAAATTTCCATCATTTTGATGCACAGAAGCAAATGCACCAACAGCAACAGCGGGTGAACATTCACAAGATATTAGCTCTGGAGGGTGATTTTTACCATAAAAAACAGATGATGGATGTCTTGAGCTATCACAAGCCTTATATACCCTCCTCCCTAGCGCAGAGAACTCCTTTGAATGATCACATGGAAAGAAAGCTTTATCAAGGAACTTGGATTTCCCATCCACACCGACCTTAGGGTGATGATCACAAGGGAAGAAAGGTTTATTGAAAAACTCAGGCATGTCATCCAAACTGAATGGTGTACTTGACTGCATCCCTGCATCCATGAGGCTGAGTAATTGCATTGCTGGAATCGTTTCATTAGGATAAAGATCTAGTGACCTTGTCCCCTTTTTGTTATGCTCAACTCCCCCGTGTTTGCAAACAAATGGATATTTGGCAGGCATCCTCCCAAAAGATTCAGAATCAAGGTTCCTGTTCTGCTTGTCAAGGCTGGTAGCACTCGGATTGAAACAGTTCATATCAAGATCTCCAATCATTTTCCCTTTCGACAGTGTGACTGGGCACTGTGAATGTCTTTCTAGGTTACTTGACTGAGGAATGTTAAGTCCAAAGGGCACATGATTTGGTATCATTGAGGATCTAACATGTTCTGCTTCTTCATGCTGTCGTGAACCATTCTGGGATATGTCACAGAATTCCAAGACCTGCATATTGGTGGGAGAGGACCTGGGCACCACATTATCAACATTCCATTTGCAATTTTGACTGCTACTGTTTCTGACAGAACCAGAAATAGGAAATTGGACTCCACCTGATGGCTTCTCTTGATGCTGTGAAAATGTACTAAACCCTGTGAAGGCAGGATTTTTCTCCTGCTTGCCCATATTGAAATGGTTTCTGTTGAAAGAAGAAAAATAGTTAACAGGATTTTGCATGGTGGGTCCCATACTTTTACCTGCTCTGATTACACCATTTCTTCCATTGCCAAGCTGAGGTTTTCTCGTACGGGGGTTTTCCTCATGTAACAATTTCAACACCCCATTCCCATGTGCTTCAGGCAACCCCATTATTTGAGTGTTCCTTTTGTCACCGATTCTCTCAGACAAGCAATGACTTCTCTCAGCTTCATGAAGCCTCTCATATTGATTCTTTGCCATGAGTTCAACAATATCCATGGGTATGTCATCTAGCGTTCCTTGTTCATACAACTTATCTGCTCTTTGGTCACTGTGTCTCTTTACAACTTCTGAATGTTCTTGAACTTCAGTTGTTTTTTCTTTGTTGCAAGGACCAGAGGTATCCTGGAAAAAGAAAACCAATATTTCCATAACATGCAGTCTATTTAAAACATTTTGAATCTAAATGCTACCAAAGAAAATTTATAAGCTACAAAGGGAAATACCTGGAATAGGAAACCAGGAATGTAAACAGGCAGAGATTAATACATTATATATATATAATAGGATTGTGTAGGTATATAATATGAATCCACATAAATGTTGTGCCACGAAGAACATCAACATGTCTAATAATTGATACAACACTATGCATGTTTGGCTTCATAAATGTGTGACTCAGTCAGTGTTGCGACATATTTATGAGACATCAGAACTACACAAGAAAGAATTATCATATAAGATTGCATAATTTAGTTAACACAGGCACAGATGTGACAAAGGATACTTGGATCCAGACCCAAAAAAGCGACCTCAAGATTCAAGTGTCCAAACTGGAAAACTATATGGACTGATACTCGTCAATTCAAGAATGACAAAATGGTCAGCAGCTGTTCCAATGTTCCGGTATCAAGTTTGCACTCAGTTAATCATCCCAGATACATCCCCAGTTTCCAGCAGAATTTATTGCTGCTGATCCAATGTTCCGGTGTCAAGTTTGCTCTCAGTTAATCATCCCAGATACACCCCCAGTTTCCAGCAGAATTTATTGTGAATCTCAAATATAGAAGCCATTACCAAGTGTTAGCCTCGCCTGTACGTGGTCTTGGAGGGGGAAGATTGGAGATAGACGTAACCTTTGGCATTATTTTGCACAAAATGTTGCTGCTTCATCTTTGAACTTGCATTTTCATGCTTGTCATCCCGAGCTTTCACCACTGCACAAGCAATGGCTCCCATACAATTTCTAGGACATCCCTAATTTATCAACGTAAACAATATCGCCCTCATTAAATTAAGTGTGAGCACAGTTCTTAATTATGTGGAACGGATTCATTTCTTGGCAAGACAACTATTAAATACCATAGAAACTGACTCTCCATGTGTGTGCTGACACCAACCCATTCAGAGTTGAGAGTTAGATTTACTTGTTTATATATTCCCTCTTCGAATATGCTAACATGAAGTGTACATCACCATTTGCAAGATTGATAAAAGGAAAGCAATAATGTATTCGGATTTCAGACCAATATGGAAGCTACATATTAGTGATGCAATACACCATTCAATTCAGAACAACTGATTTGGCTATCAATCAAATTTAAGAAGGTGAATTATAGTAAGTGGTTCTGGCTACACCAATGTCCTTGGTTCAAAAGGCTCAAATTGCTAAATGACAAGGTAATAACACCAAAACTTCAAACTAAGGTTTGAGACCCGTAGTGATTAATTTTCTCAGACTGCCAGCCTGACTGTGAACCAAACAAATTCCCCCTCAGCAACATCCCCCACCCCCAAGAACCCCGAAAAAAAAAAAAAAAAAATCAAGGAAGAGGGAGAAAAAAGAAAAATTATATAATAAATCACAATTACAAACGAAAATTAAGTAAATAAACAAAAATATATTCATCATGCAGATATTCTATCTAAAATCTCTTAATCAGTCTCTGAGAAAAAAAGCTCATACCAATTTCTGATGCAGAGAATAACTCCCATCTTCAACCAGAGAGGAACAGTTTTGCATCTCACGCAAGAAAGATGCCCTTTGAGTGATTCTTTCATTCAAATCACAAAATAATCCTTCACCAAAAGATGGATCTGTTGCAGACTTGGGAGGAACATTTTTCTCTCCAGCATGCCTAACATCTTTCCTCATACGATGTTCTTCTCTTGGAATTACCTTTTTTTGAGGAAATAAAGGATCATTCCCGTCTTCACTTAGAGCAAAATAATTTAGGCCACTTCTTTGTGCAGCCATATAGCTGTTAAGGGGAAAATCCAGCCCTTTTCTAGCAGATGCATCATGTGTTGAGTGAAACTTTACTCCTTCAGGCCCACTCTGCATGACTTTTACATCATTTCTGATGACTGAATCTTCTTCTGGCATGCTACTTCTTTTAGGCATTAAAGAAACCCACCCATCTTCAACTTGAGGCATTTTGTTTTTCTTCTTATACAAACCCAAATTTTTCTCAGCTTGTAGTGGAGACAGATAACTTCTGAAACATTGTTGTGGCCCTCTGCGTGTGAATGAATCATGTGCTGATTTCATTAAACCAGTATTAGCAGCCACACCACATTTAGCTGCATCCCCAATTTTGATTTGATTGTATTCGGGCATGACACTTTGCCATGGCACCAAGGGAGGATATCCATCACTAACTTGAGGCTCCTTATTTTTCTTTTTAAACTGTGTAGGATTTCTATCAATTCTATATTTAGTCCAGTGACTCTTTAAATCTGTCTGTACACCTACTCCAGCAGCTGCATCTCCTTCTGATTCAGAACCAGCAATTTCAATGCTCGTGTCAGAAGTTTCTCTATCTCCCTTGAAGACCCTGACTTTTTTAGTCACGTTATCCGGACAGCTCATCTCAAGTGGTTTCCAATCTTTGCCTCGACGCATCTTTCTTTTCTTGTTAGGACCCCCAAAGCCCTTTCCAATATTTCCTCCAACAGTCACATCAAACTGGGGAGCGGACCATGAACCTAAACCATTAGATGTATTGGGCATTGCATTGGAAGAAGCACCTTCCTTCCTGATGCTATAAGTTTCTGCATTTCCTTTTGCACCCAACAACTCAGTCAGCAGACGCACCTTTCGAGTTTTTCGACGTATCAAATTTTCACCCAATATCTCATCACTTTCATATGATGCATTATCATGCTCTTCCAGTTCAAGGGAAGTAATTCTGGTTGTTTGACACGTGACAGCATCTATAGTCTGATCTATCTTACCAACTACCTGTTCCGTTTCGCAAGTCATCGGTACGCTTCTCTGTTGGTCATTTGCAAAACTCAGTTTTCCCATTTGACAAATTTCAGCAGAACTGCCACCGTCACATTTAACATTTCCAGTAGCTGGAACAATAACTGCAACTTCATGACTTCCACAGTTTGGCTCACAAGATTCCACCAATTCACTGCCTTTTGATTTGAAAGCAACTGTTTCAAAAACCAAGGTTATTTCTGTGGCTGCAAATATGGTGAATAAGAGTAATAGACTTTCATTACCATGCAACTACAGCTAAAAAGAATAATGAAGTTTAAGAGGCAGATGTTTTGCACTGTTGCTCAGACATTTAATTTTATAATTGACATTCAATTTACCTGTGTCAACTGTGTCTCTTTCTTGAATTAGGCCTGGATTAGAATTTGTTGCATCACAAGTAGGATTGTGAATTTCCTGATTCCTATAATCTTGTGAATCATCCCTATGACCTGAATGAAAAATAAATAAATAAATAAATAAGAATTGAACTAAAAAAAACTCCAATTTCAATAGCATAAGTAATTGTAGTACTGAGATTATATTGAAGTATACCAGTGACAGCAGTTTGTCCATTCTCAGCTTCCATTTTATCACTACATGATGAAAAGCAATATTCATCGCTAAACACCTTAGTAGAAGTACTAGCATCAGCTTTCCTTCCCTCACAAAAGTCCAGTTTTGAAGCTTGCTGCACGTCTGACAGCACCATCGCTGCATTATCATGGTATTGCATATGAGAACAAGTGCTACTGGATATAACTCCACTTTTGCAACAATTAGGAACCACTCCAATTTCTTCTATTGAACTTGTAGTGCTAATCTCCTGCAGGCAGTTTTGGCAGCGCCACCATCTGAATTTTGCAACATGTAAAGGAGGAAGCATATTAATTTGCCTCTCTGACTTATTGTTCCCATCTAAAGCAAATGGCAAACAAATCCCCGGGTCCTTTTTACGCATTTCAGCAACATATCCACTGCATAAAAAATAGAGAGAATTTGTTAAGAGCTTCCACAGAGAAACCAAAGCCAATCATCCTCTATACGAAATAGAAAATTAACTTGTGACTAGAAAATATATACACATATGTGTGTGTGTGTGTGTGTGTACATATATTTATATATGATGCTACAAAAATTCCTCTTGGTTGTACAACTCGTGTTCCTTCAGATATATATAATTTTGAAGAAAGACAAACTAGGTGTCAATTGAGTCCCTGAAGAAAAGTCCCTTGATCTGGTATTAATTTCACTTTTGCATACAAAGTACTATATCCAAATTTGACTTAATTCCAGTTACCCTCAATAATCTATATAGAGGATACTAAAATAACATATTCAAGAACCACAACAAATTACGAAAGTTTAAATTGTATATAAATCAGCCAGTAATTATATATGCAAAAGAAACAAGAAACTTAAAAGAGAAGGAATCTCAGAATAAATCTTCAGACCAATGAAGTTTTAAACTCAGCCACCATAGCTCCCATGATCACATTACTATACTAATGACAGATCTTATTATTTAAACATGCACAGATATGCACACACGCATGTAACCATACACAAACAAACATGCAATAACAAGAGGATCAGAGTCTAACCAAAGTCCTATAGACTGGAAAATTTTAAATAACTGATATGCAAGTTCAATATCGTTAGTATAAGCTAGCTTACCGTATTGAGAAATGCTCACACTTTTCTGTTTCGTTCTTCTCCATGGCACTCCCAAGGTCTATAGATATGGAATCAATCTTGATAAGTGATCCCAAGGACTTCGACACAGGAGAATGATCACTTCTTTGATGATTTTCTTCCACCACCTTACTCTTCTCCATGATAAAAGAAGAACTAAAATTGCAGCATTAAGATTTCTATAAGATCTCAAATGTGCACAAATTAAGTGATATATTAAGTTACACAGTAATTCACATTCTATAACAAAGATTTAGGAGAACAAATCAGCATGCAACACATTTAACCACCTTGAAGTTCAAAAGCACTTCACAATTTCATGTTCAAAGTACCAAAAAAAAAAAAAAAAAAGACTTCATATGGTTCACTCAAAATAACTAGGTAGTATAAAGCACCTTTAATAATATTGATTTGCATCATAAAATAACAATAGCAAGCAATATACAAGTATACAAGACAATAGTGGAAAAATATTCCAAACCCTAATTCTCCATAAAAACACAGACAAAGCTGTTTCTAGTTTGTATTTTCATAATCCACATGTTATACAATCAACTATATAGCTCAAAGCATCCACACAATATGCAAAGTAAACCAAAATATGCCACTGATAAGTCAAAACAACAACTAGGGTTTCCCTTCTATGACAATGATACAACTCCCCACAAGACAAAGAGAGAACAAAGTCAATCCGTTGTTTCAAAAATTAAGACAAAAACATAACGCACCTTGACATCAGCTGCAAAAACTCCAAATCTTCTAGCAAAATCATGCAAATCATACAATAAAAAATAGGGTTTTTCTTATACAAACAAATTGCTTCCATATAAACCATCAACTCCACTTCCAACACACCAAAACAATCAACACACACATAACACACCAAAAAATCATATAGATTATCACATAAAATCAAACCTTTAAAGCAATAAACAAAATTATCAACAAATTTAACGTACAAATCGCATTAAAATGGGAAAAAATGAGCTCAAACTCAGCTAGAACTTGTAATTATACACACAAATTCAATCATCAACGTATCGACAACGAAAAAATTAGTAATCTGAGATAGAAAAAGAACAAACTAACCTCGTTTGAATCGAAGATCAGATCAAATGAATCAGTTACAGACTTCGATTCTTCACGGCGTACCCAGAAAACTATATCATCAGATAAAACATTTCAAGACGAAGCTGAAAGTATGAACTTTACAAAGAGATTCGAAGCTGGCTGACCAGAATTCGAGTGCGAAATCGAGATAAACCCTAGCTTTAGGTTTTCGGGAGAGAGGAGAGAGAGAGAGAGAGAAAGAGAGAGGAGAGAGAGGGAGTGTGGGTTTCTGTGTGCGTGTGTGAGTATTTTATCCTTTGTCCTTGAAATGAGGCTTTGTAGTATTAAAAAACGTAAATCTGTAAGAGACATATATATACACATACATATATATATGTTCATATATATATATATATATATATATATATATATACTTAGAGCAATTATATTGTGGGGTCAACCCCATATTTTTTGTCATAAGCTCACATTTAAACTTTCACCGTTCGGCACAAAATACACTTTTTGAAAATAAAAAATAATTTGGAACAAAATAAATTATTCAAAAATAAAAATTCAGTTTAGTTGGATTCTAGTAGAAAATTTTTACCTAACTATTAGTCCGATTAGTAAAATCTCTTCGATTTAAAATAAAAATTGAGAGTTCAAGTTCAAAATATTTTATTGGTATATAAGTTCGGAGAACTAGTTAGAAAAGAAGAATTGTTTATTTAAAAAATAAGCAGTAGAAAAAGGTGATAAAAATTCACAGCAGATTAAATAATTAACCCAAATTTTAAAAATTAAAGACATAATATATAATAAAATGAATGAAAATCCATTTATATGGAATAAAAGCCGTAATGCGCTTGTTTTGATTTTCGTAAAGAAAGAAAAATTATAGAAAAATAAAAATTTAATTGAAACATGTAACTTGCAAAATTTATACATCACTCAGCCCCATTGTAATTTTTCTCTCTCTATATATATGTGTGTGTGTGTGTGTTTGTAGAGAGAGAAAGCTGGGACGAATGAGAGGGTGCCAGCAAACGCAGGGTGGTGCGGTTCTTATCACTATCCACTACTATCTTAAAAACCCTAGTCAAATACTATTCCCACGCGTTATATTCACGCGCTTCTTGGAGATTGTTTGATTGTTCACTGTGTAAGTATCTTGTGTCAGATGGTGATAAAAGATGCTATTCCACGAAAATGAGTTGCTACTGGTGCGTGTATTACACGTTCTATCAAGGAGCGTGGTTGTAGTACTTGTGTAAACCCTAAATATGTGTGGTGGTAGATGAGGGAGGTAAGTAGGGGTAACCCTAATGCTCAGATTGTTAAAGTAGGTGACTCATCAAGTAACGAAAAAGGAAAAAGAAAATATATAGATATATATGTGTGTGCGCGCGCGCGCGCACATATACAGTACGTGTGAGTGGATCCACCTTCTTTTTGTTTTCTCCTCTCAAAGAGGATGATAATATAGGTCTAAAATTATACCATGTTTTATATGTAGTAGCTAATTTATACTAGAGTATTGCTAATATCTAATACTAGTACTATTATTTCTATACCTTTAAAAGTGAAGATGGGATTTCAAATACTGAAAAATGGGCGTGTGAATTTTACTACCGGTAAAAAATATTAAGAGAGTTGTGCTACAATATTAATGAAATTACTTTTTTGATTGACGTTAGGATGATATAATTGACAAGATAATCCAAGCTTAACACTTGCATACCTAATGTAAGGTTACATGCATCTCATTGTGACATTATGTGTGAGTAATATGTAATGATATAACTTACCAGTGAGACGCTACGATGATATTGTTAACAAGCATGAAGTCACGTGTGAGTAGTATGGTAGTGATATAATTACTAAGTGTGACATTGCGATGATATAACTGACAAGTGTGACGTTATGCGCATACGAGTAATGTGTAATGATATAATTGACAAGAGTAATGTTATGATGATATAACTAGTAAGTGTGACTTTACGCACATGTTAATAATTTGCTACGATCGATATAGCGGACAAGTGTGACGACTATATAATTGGCAAGTGTGACATTACATGCTAGCAATGTATAAGATTAATATAACTAATAAGTGTGACATTACGATAATATAACGTTACAATTCAGTTGAATTTTAAGGGTATTAATTTATTTATTTTGTTATCTTATCAATCAACTACACAGTAATCTCGAAAAAGACTTGAAACATTCACTTTATGTACCACTTATGCTTATAATACATATAGTAATTTTTTTTTTTTCTTTTTCAATTCACATGTCGGTGAATTGGTGTTTTTATTTATTTCTTTCTTTCTTTTCTAAGGTAAAAGGATATGGAACAATGACTTGATGTGAGAGTACGTGCAATTGATCCATATTTGTAAATTAATGTGGTTATCTATATATATGTGATGACTGTGACACGAAGTGATGTATACGTACATGGATGATATATATTCCATGTAGTATGATGTAATTAATTATTCTAATAGAAGAAAAAACAAATACTATATATCAGAAAGAGATAGAAGAAAAGATTTAAATAAATTGGAGAATGCTATCTAACCACTTATAAAACATGATATAACATCAAATTAATGGATATATATAAAAATGTCCCCACCTTCTAATTTTTATTATGTTTCATTTTTCTGGTACTTTTTTGGAAGTGAAAAAGATAAACCCTAGAAAGACCTTCATCTGAATCGCGTGGGTTAAAATTTGGTCAGGTATCGCCCATCATCGGAAGCAAATTGATTGAATTATTATGGTAGGAGGATCTAATTAGGGTTCCAAATAAATTGTGTTGTCTTTCAATTTCTTAAAAATTGTTTATTTATGTAAAAATAGTGTAATATTCTGAATTTGATGATATCCAGTTAAAGTGGATACAGTGCTATCCCACTTCAGATTAGGTTGAAGCATCGGATAAGGTTTCTACAATGCATATTACTCCAAGAAATCTATCCATATCCATGCCTCACACTTCAAATTAACCTATTTATGGTAGATGGTTAGTGGTTTTTTTTTTTTTTTTTTTTTTTTTTTTTTTTGATAAAAAAAATGTCTTTTATTTTTAATTTAATTTTTTTTTTTTTTTTGTCATCGACAAGAAATACAACCTACTTACATACTCACTTTACTCATTTAGAGACTGATTTACTCCCTTGATCCCCTGTAGAAACAAGCACATCAGTTGAAGGTGGTAGTATTTTATGCAACTGAATTAATCCATAACAAGCATAATAAAAGCATGTAATTAACATGATTATATTATGTTGCTTCTTTCGTGTCTTCCCTTGGGGAGTTTCTGCCGTGGTTGTTGATTGCTGTGGAGACTCGAATCATCATCATCCACTTTAAAAAGTAGATGAGATATCACTATGCCACAAGACCCTAATTAGTTATTGATATTTCAAGTTGTAACCGAAAAATGTATGTGTCATATATACAATTTTCACTGGCGGGTGAAAATTATATCAATTTTTTTTCTTCCAGAGGTGTAGAATTTATATTTTTACTTGATGAGAAACTCACACATCTATTTATCTTTGCAGAATGTTTACATAACCTTTGATATAAAAATTTAATTATCTGGTTAACATGGTCCGTAGTCACGGTCGCAATGTATCGAACTCGGACAAAATCAGTGTAAGCTGCCCAATATGAGCGGCGTATCGGACTTGAAAAAATGTCGCATATCAGACGATACGGTAAACCATGTTAATTAGCGAAACATATTTATATTAGTGTTAAAAAAAAGGAAGACATACTTATAGATTATAGAGTAATGATAAAAAGTTTAAAAGTCGAACAAATTTAACTCTCAAATTTTATGTGAGTAGATACAAATTTTATGGTGAAACTAAGGTTATTAATGATATCATAATATCCTCAGCTCACATTTACATAAATGAGCCGAAATTATCATACGTTTGAACTTCATATCATTATTCTATTTATATATTCAATTTTGTATACATCATATTCTGCAATTTATATATGTATATATATATATTAGAAATGACATAAACCTGAAGCATCAAGAAGGGTAAATTGTTTTGTTATGTAATGGCAGGTATAGAGATATGCATATATGTGTAGTACAGGAGTTGCAAGAATTGAAAAAATAAGTATGGCTTTAATCTCAAGAAATTATGGGATCTAATGGCTGAAAGTGAGAGCTCAACCTCTCTCACGGGAGAGGGGACCCTCCAATTAATTTTTGTATATAAATTCTGTAAAAGAGACGGTAAAAGAAGGAAGTGCATGCTGTCTGTCATGAACCAAAAGTACTTCTCGTCTCAGCCTACTCGCGCGGATGATGGTACGTAATACATACATGCACACATATCTATATCTATATATATATATACTACTCCTCATTAATTACAACTATATATAAGTAGACACTAAAGCACAGTTATAAGCATCTTTCTTTCTTTCTTTTTCTCATTCATTCATTCTCTCTCTTCCCTTTTCCATATATATATAGATATATATATAAGGATGTCGTATTGTAAAATGCAATTTTAGTCACATTAGTAAAATTCCGCAAAAGTCTAGGTTTAGGCACATTTTGAAAAATATTTTTCCTTTTTAGATTTATATATTTTTTATTACTCCTACTTATTTGGTATTTGATAAAGATTTAGATTAAGGATGAGTTCATCCGGCAACAATTATAAAATAATTTATTGAAAATTTATGAGTTATTTATTTTTGTTAAATTTTAATATATTTTTTTCTTCCTAAATATTTTAGGACAACAAAACACCATAAAATAAGAAAATATTTACATCCAAACAAACAAAGTCTAAGAAGAGATATTAAAGGCAAAAATGTCATGTTGGTAAAAAATCATAAAAACACGAAGTCATTAAGGACTTGTTTTGTGTTATTGTTGTATTGGTAAATATGTTTTTATAAATAAAGTTGTCATAAAAATTAAAAAATATGTTAAGTGTTTTTTCGGGTGATAATACTGTTTAAAGAACTTCTAAGAACTAACATTAGTGTTAAGTGACTTTAATGGAGTGTTAGCACATTTGATAATAGTAGGACTTTATAAAAGAAGGGATGAAAATCTCTTTATAATTAAAAGTTAGAAAATTTTTGTTTCCATTATTTTAAAACATTAGTGAGCTAAAATCTCTACCATATTTAATAGTGTTTTTTCTTCCTTTTTTTTAACCAAGCGCAATTAAAAGCAAAATTTTAAAATAAAAACAGTTTTTAAAGTGGTACAAGGAGAATCCCAAATGGGTCCTAACCATGATTCTAGTTATGTGCAAATGATCAGAGAGAGAGAGAG